TTGCTCTTTACCAGCATGTCATCGACATACACTTCCATATTCCTTCCTAACTGGTCTTTGAAAATTTGGTCGACCAACTGCTGGTAAGTGGCCCCGGCATTCTTCAATCCAAACGGCATGACTACATAACAATAGGTGTCTTTGCTTGTTATGAAGCTCACCCTCTTCCAGTCTTCTTTCGCCAAGGGGATCTGATGATACCCCTGCGAGGCGTCCATCAAGCTAAGCAGTTCGCACCCTGCCGTGGAGTCTACCAGCTGGTCGATCCTTGGCAGAGGGTATAGATCTTTTAGGCAAGCCTTGTTTAGATCACGGAAATCGATGCACATCCTCCACTTTTCTCCTGGTTTGGACACCATTACCGTGTTAGATAACCACTCAGGGAACTGAATCTTCTTAATGTGCCCGGCGTTCATCAGCTTGTCGACCTCCTGCTCGATGATTTTGTCCATTTCCACACCATGATGTCTCCTCTTCTGCTTTACCGGCCTCACACTGAGATCAATATTAAGTCTGTGCTCGATCACCCTTGCTTCGATCCCCGTTAGTTCATCCGTTGTAAATGTGAAAACGTCTGTAAACTCCCTTATTAAATTGATCAGCTTCGACCTGACTGGCTCTCCCAAATCTTTCCCAATCCTGAATTTGCTGTCATCGCACCCCTGCACCATCTGAATTTCCTCGATCTCTCCTACGGGCTGTATGTCTACCTTCTCTTTTCCCTTGTCTTGTCCTCCTCTTTCCTCTTTTGCTCGTGACCCTCCTGGTCGATCAGGCCTCACTTCCTTGCCTTTCAACTGCCTTTCTACCATCTGTTTGTTGTTACTGACTGTGGTTTGATAGCAACTCCTTGACGTGAGATGGTCCCCAGCAATCTCGCCCACATTTTCCCCCACAGGATATTTGATCGTCATGTGGTATGTAGACATGACCGCTTGGAACGCGTTTAAACCTGTCCGCCCTAAAATGATATTGTAAGACGATTCTGCTCCGACCTCTACGAACCGGACCATTCTTACTTTCCTCGCGTCGCCCGACCCCAATGCTACGGTCAGGCTCACTTCGCCCATTGGCATTACCTCTCCACCGTTAAACACATATAAAGCTGTCGCCACCGGTTTTAGTTCCAGGTTCAGGTGTTTGTTGATCTGCGCAAAACAATCGTAGAACATCACGTCGACTGAACTCCCCGTGTCGATGAACACTCTTTTCACATCAAAACTTGCCACTTCGGCCGTGATGACCAGTGCGTCATTGTGGGGTAACAAGATTCCCTCCGCGTCTTCTGCTCGAAAGCTAATCACAGGCATTCGACCAGTTATCCCAACCTCTTCTCTTTTACGCTTCACCGCCCGCACATGTCCCTTTCGCGCATTATTTGAATCCCCATCCGTTGGCCCTCCTGAGATCATGTAAATCGTGCCTCTTTTCGCAGGCACCTCATCCCTCAGCTCCTCTCGACCATCGTTTTGTCGTCTCCTTCTTTCTTTCCTAGCATCGTCTTCCCTATCGTCGTCCTTATCGCTCCTCGTCACAGAATCTTCCATGCATCTTCTCCTTTCTTTACCCCGTGGTCGATCGCGAATGACAAATTCTTTCAAGTGCCCCGCCCGTATGAGACGCTCGATCTCGTCTTTCAAGTGTCTACAGTCTTCTGTATTATGTCCATAATCCCTATGGAATCTGCAGTATTTATTCGACCTAGGTTTGGTCGGTCCCTCGAACCTGGTCGCTGGCCACGTGACTTCCTTGCTTTCCAACTTCTCCTCTATGGCCGCCAAGACTTCACCCATCTGGGCGTTGATAGGAGTAAAATGGTTATATCTTTGGCCGCTTGGTAACCGAGGTCGCCCTTGCCAGCGATCTTCTCGCCTCTCTCGGAATGAATTTCGCCCATCCCTCCTGGGCGACAGCCTCTTAAAAGATCCTCCTATTGAGGATTTTTTCCTAGGTGATCCCCTCCTGGGCGAGCTCAGCTTTCCCTTCTTCTGCTCAGGTTTCACAACATCCTCAAGCTTGGCAAACTCTGCTTCCGTTTCTTCTA